CCTCAGGTCCGCCGCCTGACCACCCCCGCGGCCGCTGCTTTGGCCACTGCCGCTGACGAGCCCGAATCAGTGAGGTCCACTGTAGAAAACTGCAGTTCGGAACCGACTTCGCGCGCGTTTTTCTGCCAACTCTGACCTCCGTTCCCGTCGATTCCTTCGTCGGTGCGTAGCCCTTCGTGTTGTCTATCACACGATATATTCCTTTCACTTGGGCTCCTTATCTACACCTCGTTATACTCGTTTGAATATCGCACGTCGCATTAACACTCTAATTGTGATTTTAGCCGTCGTTTTCGCGAAACCCGTCGTAACGCTGTGCAACCAACCCGACAGTCCCTACTACAGTCCACGATATACCCAAGGCAAGATCCCACTTGCTCAGATCTGAATTTTATATTTATTATGAATTATCTATAATTTTAGATCAGTTAATAATTATCTGCGTGAGATTGTTTGATGAATAATATTAGATAAATCATCATAATATAATAAATAGTATTTTCAGAATAATTACGATAAATTAAAAAAATTTATTTCGGCAGCAGAATCATTTTCGGATAATTATAATAATTAAAAAGAATTTATTTGAAACAAAATCATTTTAGGAAAATTGTAATAATTTAAAGGAATTATCTTGGAAAAAGAATCATTTTAGAATAATTATAATAATTTTTAGAAATTATCTTGTGGAAGAAATCATTTTAGAATGATAAATATTTTTAAAAAAAAATTATTTGGGAAAATAGACTATTTTGAATTAATGAGGATTTATCTTATAAAACGATTATTTTTGAATATATGAATTTATTCTTTTAAAAGATTATTTTTAGAATTATTATAATAAGAAAATAACTTATTTTGGAAAAAGGGATTATTTTGAAATTAAATTAAAAGAATTTAAATTGTAAAAGAAATTATTTTGAAGTAAATAAATTTATTATTTCAGAATATTATTTTAGAACAATTTTATGATTCAAATTCTTAATCTTGATTATCTGATATGGCATGATATTATTGCACATGATTTATTATGTCTTGTTGCGATGAAGAACCGTTGATAGTTATGATTTAGTGGCCTCGTGCGTTATGAGTAGACTTAGCGGCATGTGTGAGTGTGTTGACTGAGTTTAGGTGGTGAATCCGAGTTTCAATGAGGTTTATGGTTGACTTAGAAAATACAAGAGAATTGGGATGGGGAAGTCCATGTTCATGTAATCGGATAAGGCTATTGATGTATCTTCCAGGCTCGCGCCAGTGAATTCGTGTAGTCACTGGGGTTGGTTTGTTGGGCTAAAGTGAATTCGTGTAGTCACTTTAGTCAGTGAATTTGGGTAGTCACCCGAGTTCTGCTTGAGTTCAGACCAGGCCGAAATCGGATTGCGTGTAGTCCTCTGACCGATTCGTGTAGCGGTATTGGATGCACGTAGGGGATTTGTGAACAGTCAGTATCCGATGACACGAGCGTTGACTCTGTGTGAGATATGACCAGTGACCTGTTATAAGATGGCTAGTTACATGACCTTGTTTCTTGGCTAGGTATGATTTCTTGAGAGATGTAGGCTAGTTGTGTTTCTCTTCGTACATAGATCGGGATTAATATTTGTTTATTTACAATTCGAGACATATGGTATATACATGAGGGTTTCCTTGTTTGGATTATTTCGTTCGACGTACTACGTCTCGAGTTATAGATTTTTAAGTATTAATTTCATCTAGTGTATGACCCTATTTCTTGGATGATTTCTGATCGCTAGTTGCATGATTTTGTTACCCGATTGATTTACGGATTCTTATGATTATCATGTTTTGGTAGTGGATTGCATGTTGATTTTGTTGGATTACCAGTTGCACGTTCTTTTGTCGTTTTGGTTATCGTATTGTTTTCCGCTTGGGTTTTCGTTCGTTCTTTTCTTTTGTGGGGTCTTGCCGTATGCCATGCACCCTGACGTACACTTGTTTTCTCTGGTGTACGTCAGACTTAGAGGAAGAACAGGTCCACCTGGGAGAACACCAGTAGCCAGAAGATTCTCAGCAGGAGTGCCTTGCAGACGTAGCAGAAGAAGAAGCCGAAGCTTAGTCATTCCCTTTAGTTTGTTTTGTAGCACTTTTATTTCCTTTTCTTTAGTATATTTTTATATTCTCCAGTATTTCATTCAGATAGTTTTGTATAAGGGCATGTTGACCCGCATTTTATGTCTCGGATGTTATCCCATTTGTGATATGATATTTCTTTATTCTGAGTTTTTATGTCTCGGATGTTATCCCATTTGTGATATGATATTTCTTTATTCTGAGTTTGTCTATTATATTCTTACTGATTGTGATCGGGGACCTGTGACTTCGTATTGTATTTATTTCCAGACGCTTAACGTATTAGGTTGAGGAGAAATGGTTATTTTTATTTACTCTCCTTGATCTAATACGTCGCGGGCTTGTTCACGTTCCGATTCCCGGGTATTTTGGGAAGCAGGGCGTGACATCCACGAATATCAACGTCCCCGTCACAGGCCAAGATCCCACGCAAGCAGAAGACTGATAAACGATCTCTGCGCTATTTGACGAGAATTGTATTTTCATTGTGTAAAAGTCTTATAAAAGGGCTATCTTTTTGTATTTTCATTGTAACGACTGAAGTTGTAATGACCTCAATGAAGAAACCAATTTTCTACCCAAACAGTGCCCAACACAAATATGTGTACACTCTCATGGTCACGTGCATGGATTTATGTGCAATTCGTACTCCATGGTTTTGTTCAAACAAATATAGTGAAACACAAATACACAATCAGCATCATATCGGTCAACCGAAGTATGACATCGGTCGACCGATCGACATCATGCACAAACGTGCATATGCACACAGCTTGGACCGATCAACCGACTCTTTCGTTTCGGTCGACCGACCTGAGCATGAAGTGAAGGTGAACAACAGGTGTAGGTTTTGATCTATAATTCCTCAAATCAATAATTTACATAAAAACACATATATTTAAACTTATTAAATATGATTAGGGTTCACTTATCTTCATGAAAACAAAATTATCTATTTTGAGTGGATTCAAATAACCCTAACATGTTCATACTTATAGGAAACCTCATGAAAACAAAGAAATTTGACGTAAACTCGTGTTAGATATATTTCAGAACTTAAATCCAAAATAGATATGTCACTTCATAATTTTTTAAAACAAAAAGATCAAATCTTTATATCTTATAGTTTAAAAGAGCAATCTTTATACTTAAACTAGGTTTGAAATCCAATAAATCCAAATAAAACCAGAAATAAAATGGGGATGGGCTTGGAGGAGATGAAACTCGCCCTAAAATGTGCTGGAATCCCCAAATATGCAAGAAAACATATTCTCCTTCACTAAACACCAATGATCTCACCCTCTTCTTGGTATTTTCTTCACAAAGCTCTTCAAAATCACCAAAATAAATTCTAGGGTTTGCTAAGGGGAGAGGGTGGTTGCTATGGTTTAGAAATATGATGAAAAGGAGAGATTTTTATGAAATATACTTATATATATACAAATAAATCCGAACCCAAACAGCCTGACCCGAAAATAGAAATCTAACAGGTTTCTGGCTTCCCATCAGTCGACTAATCACTTGGCATCAATCGACCGGTTAGCTCCTGTCGGTCGACTGATGCCAAGTGATCAGTTGATCGGCCATATATATATATATATATATATATATATATATATAGACATATATATAGACACACACACATATATATAGCTTAAATTAATCTCTAATCGATGTCAAACATACTCATTCATCCCAAAGTAATCTCAAACATTATAAAACTCATTTAATATTATTTTTCCATAATATTATCAAAATTTTCAAGGTTTTACAGATAGACTTCAGCTAGTTGCACATCTCCTAGACATACCTTTGTCAGTTTCTACTC